TCTCTCTCTCTCTCTCTCTCTCTCTCTCTCTCTCTCTCTCTCTCTCTGCTTCAATGGAGAGCAGCAACCCTGTTCTGCAAAAGGGCAGGTTGGATTCTCTTCCTCCGGCACCTGTTCCGGGGTAAGGGTGTGACTGTGGACTCCAGCTGGGCCTTCAAAGAGAAAGATGGGTAGACTAGAGCAGTCACTTCCCCACACAGTTTCATAAGACCATAGGTACCACGTTCAGATGCCACCGTAGCTCCCAGAACCATGCCCACCCACCCCTTTCCTAGAGATGGATGTCATGAAGGCCACTGTTGTCAGAACACTGTTTATTCCACAGGAGGATGGGCTGTAAGCTAAGTGGTCCTTGGAATGGGAGAAATGACATTCTCACAGGCCCTTCTGGTACCAGTGGGGATCATAGTCCTTCCTGGGTGCTGCAGGAAGCTAGTCTGCTCTGAGTCCATGTGCAGGTTCCCACAAGTCTCTGTTTCCTGTCCCAAACATGAAGACAGATTCTGCATGGCGCTTAGGTCCAATCTATCCCCAGAGAACTCCACACTCCATGTCACTGCCCTATTGTCCTTCTACCCCAGGCCTTTCAGCAAGAGCTGGGGACCAGGGGCTAAAGAGAGAGGTGACATTGGTGGTCCAGCTTCAGATGCTGGCTGGGGATCCAGAAAGAAAGGATGGGCTGCGAGCCAGGCAATTTGGAAGCAGCGAGGCCCGAGAGCTGGGCAGGATGAGGGTGGCTCTCATTCCTGGCCTGGGTGTTCTCCGACAGACCACTTTACCTCTCCCGTTCGAAGAGTCACTATGTCTTCGTAGGTGGCTGTCTGATCAATGTTCAAGCCCTAGAAAGATGAATTGGAGGCTCAGGTGTGGGCCATATTCTAACCATGCCAAAAGAGGGGAACCATTGCAGCTCAGAACTGCTAGGTGAAACTGTCCCTTACCTCGTAGGTATGATCTTCCTCCATCCCTGCCTTGCTGTCATCCTGTGGGAGGAACGGGGAAGGTGGAAGAATATAGTTTTGAGTGTTAGGGTCCTCCGTTCATGTACCCTGATGGGCCAGGGATGTGGGTCTGGGTGGGGGAGGGGAAGAAGGCGTCTCCAAGAACAAATGAATGAATGAACAGTAAGCCAGTGGACAGGACTTGCGGTGGGGACTTCTTGAGAGAGCAGCCACAGAGTCTGAGAAGATGGAGACCCTGCCCAGGTCTTGTCTGCCCTGTGCCCACCTCCCAGCCTTCCCAAGGATCCCCAGTTCCTCTGGGCACCTTGTCTAGTAGCAAGAAGATGGGCACGATGATGAAGAGAATGATTAGGAGGGTCTGGATCATGATGATGCCATCTTTCAGGGTGTTCCGCCGCTTCAGCTGTTCCAAGGTGCTGAATCCTGGAGCAGGGAGACAGGGCATACATAACGCTGGAACTGAAGGTTAACTATAGAGACTGTTTGGACCCCCTCAGGGCCAACTGCCCAGCAGCTATCCTGGGAATTCCAGGGCCATGGCCACCTCCCCTGGTAGGCAGGGGTGTGGGTGTGGACGGCTACGTGAACACAAGTCTACCTGGCACACACCTAAGACTTTAAGTTCTGAGCCACAACTCCAAACATCCTCTGAGTCTCTGATGCATTGCTGCTTGCAGAAGTAGACACCATTGTCCTCAAACTGGATGTTTTGGATGGTGAGGACGTAGACAGAGCCATTTTGGGTCTTTGAGATGTGTCCCTCTTCTTCGGACAACTGCTGGGGTGTCTCTTTCTCTTGCTTTCGGAACCAGGTCATGGTGGTGGAGTAGTCTGAGTAACAGTAAAACTTCACCACGGAGCCCCGCTTTTTGGCTACGTACCTCGGGTACAGCTTGATCTCGGAACAAGAACTTCCTGTGGACATCAAGGCAAGGTTCAAAATTCGGCAAAAAAATCCTGTTTGCCAGCCTAGCCCACCGTGGAAGACACTAACCCAGTTTAGCCAGCTTCTCATGTCTGGAGCATCAGGTTTACGAGGCAGTGTGAAGGCAGAGGTGTGGGAAAGTAAGCCATGTTGAGAGGCCACACACCAAGCCTCTGTTCCACACCTCTTCCTGCTCAAACCTCTGCCCACTAGTCTTCCCTTAAGAAGGATTCTGGAACCTTCTCATTGCATTCATGTCCACTGTAACAACCAGATCCAGACCTCATCTGCAGAACAGCCTTCTTGGCCTCGTTGGCTATTTCAGCTCTTTCCTCTGGACTTTCCTACACTCACCCCAGATCCTGAAGGACTCCCCACTGTCTCCGGGGTGATAAAGGTTGACTCCTTAGCCTGTCACCCGAGACCCTCCTCCCACACCCTCTTGACCCTTCTCACAGACTCACTCTTCTCAGTGTCTAGGCCGGCGGGGTTTGTGGGGTCTCAACCACACAGACACAGGCCTGAGGCCTATGGAACCCTGTCTCGCTGCCACTCTCTTATCTCTCAGCCAGGTTTAGTTCTGACCCTCAGCGGCCAGCACTGGAGCCTACTAGCCTGATGACAGCCATCCAGAAATGGGGCCTCCGTGAGGGGCCTTACAGAGGTGTAGGTATAGGGAGCTCCAGGGCAGAGATATGGGACCACAGTGGCTAATGGGAAGTGATGGTTGAGGCAACTAACCTTGGAGATTCTGTGACAGGTCACTGTTTGTCACCGCTGGTACCGGCTCACCTGGAGGGTGAGAGGAAGTGGGCAGGGCTAGGTCAGGCCTCTCTACCCTCAGTTGATTGCCCCACCCTTACCCCCTCCACGTTTCCAGAGTCACTTCCTCCTTCCAGAACTACAGCTTCAAGCCCCTTAGTTCTCCCTGTCCCTGTACAAGAGAGGCAGAAGTACGGTAGGGGTACTGGAAGCCCCACTCCTAGCTCCCTTCTGCCTTTGCCCCTCAGGCTGGCCTAGAGCTTCTGCAGATAAAGAGAAGAAAGCCACACAGGGAGGGCTTGGCCAATCTTTCAAAGGGAGGACCATTCCTGGAACATGTTATCTTCCAGGTTACGGGACCAGCCTTTCTCATGCCATGCCCCCAGGGCTTAGCTGGGAGCCACATGCTGTCCCTCTTCCTCCTGAGCTCGGTTCCTCGGGGTCATAACTGCCAACGAGGTTAGCCCCTTGCACCCAGTTCAACCTGAAACCCTCCAGACTGGAGAGGAACTGGGGCCTCAGGCCCTGAGCCTCCCATTAAGACCCACGAGCTGGGCATAGGACAGTCAGAGCGAGGGAGACAAGAAGCAGAAAGCAAAAGGCAGGAGGTTGAGCAAGCAAGAAACTGAGCTGAGACACGGAACGGAACGAGAGGCCCATCTCAAAGCCAGCAGGCCTATTGTCTGTCGCGTATGCCGTACCTGAGAAAAGGAGCAGCAGGAACAACAGCCAGTGGCGGGGCATGGAAGATGGCACCAGTGCGGCCATGGTCACCGCTCTGTCTCTGAGTCCAGGCCTGTCACCACTTAGGAGGTTTTTGGGAGAAACATGTAACTGTATGTCAGCCTGGGCTGCAGCCTGTCTGCTCTCCACCTCTTCCCCATTAGGCCCCTTCCTGCCATGCAAATTGAGACCCAGGGGAGGTACCATGCCTCTAGGGACCCTAGGGGAGGGAGGTCCCATCAGCTGGCCTGCTGGGACTTGAAGGTGGCCCTGCCTGGACAACACAACTTGGGGTTCTGAGAAACAGTAGAAACCCTGGGAGGGGAGGGGTACTCCTGAATCTTCTAGGGATAGCCTGTGTTTCTTTCTCTCTCTCTATTCCACTGAGGGGGGTCGGGCATCTCCTGGGCCTGCTACCTCTACTGTGGTTGCCTTGCTCAGGAAGGGGAGAGCTTGGTGTATTTAGCTAAACACCTCTATACCAATCCTCTATATAGTGGCTCTCACATATTTATTTGTACTGCTATTACATAACAGCAACTTTGCGAAGTATGTTTTTCAATGCTTGGGACCCACAGGTTGAGAACTGCTGCTTAAGTGAATCTGACCTTGCGCCCTCTGCCCTGGACAACCTTTATCCTGTAGGAAGAAGCACACTGAGGAAGGACAGTGCAGGGGACAGACTCACGCCAGGCTTCTGGAGAGGTCCAGAGTAGAGCCTGGGGTGCAAGAAGCCGCGTCAAAAGTTGACCGTAGGAAGGGAGCCACAGAGTTCTTGCGCAAAAGTCTGCCAAGCGGTAGGGAAGGGTACAGCCTAGGGCCTCAGCAGTACCCTCCTCTCCTTGTGTATGACTACGCTGTGGGTTGCCAAAGGGGCTGGACTTAAGCAGAACCCACTTAGGGAAAACCCAGCACTTAACTGTCACAGTTAAGGGAGCTTTTCCAGGGAATTCTGTGGGATACTGAGGTCACTGAAGGGTTGTATGTAACTCTGGGGGTGCCGAACAGGGGATGAGGCTGAGATGGGCGAACCCTCTGGCTCCGTAGGCTCTTTGGCTCTGTCGTGACATCTAGCATGACCACAGGGCCCACCGCATTCAGGAGTTCATTTGAGCTTAGCTTTGTGTCCTGGCCTCAGGGTCTGTTCAACCTTTAGCAGCCCCGCCTTCTTGGAGTCTTGTGTCTCCTCCTAGTGGTTTCTTTTTCAGTCTTGTCTACTGATCCCAGCCAAGACAGACAGATGCTAAATCTCTGGCAGCCGCTTTACATCTCGCTGTCCCCACAGCCCACAAGCAGCCTGTGTGGCTGGCCCAATTGCTCACATTTGGAGAATAGCTACCCCTTTCTTCCCGAAGCAGGGTTGGAAGGTGGCAGCAGGGAAGGGAGGGGTCTGGGCACTCCTACCTCTGTTCTGAGCCTGTACCTCACATGACAGGGTGAGGGTCAGCTAATGAGGGAGTATAGTAGGCCAGGGTCCTGAGTTATGGAAATTGGGGGTAAGAGGGTTAAATTTTTGTCTGAGAAACAATTCATTCTGGGCAGCCCCGCATGTTTTCGATTCTTTCCAGATGTTCCCAATGGAAAAAAATAATTCTCTGAAAAGGTGTCGGATATTCAGCTCACAGAAGAAACAGCACTAGGAAAAGAATGTCGCCTAAGGTCAGCATGGGGCTCATGGGCCCTCCCCTGGCAGTGAGTCAAAGTCCAGGGTCCCACCTCTTAGTAGACTCGACCGTGAGATTCTAGTGATGGAAGCCTTGTTTGTCTTCAGAGCTAGTGAACCTCAAAGTTGGGAGGTTAATAGCAAAGTGTTCAGGGGTCACATATGTGTCGTCTGGGCTGTGCAGGGGCAGGGATTGCTTGGGAGGTGACTCTGAGGCTCAGGTATATGGGAGGCTGCAAGGGGTTGGCAGGGGTTGTTTGACATCAGCATTCGTCGTGGGAGGGATGTAGATGAGCCCTTTGGACTTCATTCCCATTCATGCCAGGCAGGGAGGCAGTGGGGGCCCCACCGCTGTAGGGCTATTTGTCACAGTGGGACCGTGTTGTTCCCTTGCTAGTGACCACATCATTAAGCCTTGTCTGGGGTTTATGACGCCCATGCCTTCCCAGAACAGGAGGCCTTGCTATCCCCCCACCCCACCCCACCTCTGCCCTGGTACGTATCCCAACATCTGGCAACCTCTCTCCTCCCCTTTCCAGGAAAAAAGCATCAAAACAAGACATGGAGGACTGGAGAGGAAGAAGGTACTTGGGCATATGGGAAGAAGTCAGGGACTCCAGGATGAGAGAGGTTAGGAACTGTGTTGGAGAAGGAAGAGCTCAAACCTCTCCCATTCTTGCCTCAGCATCCTGGGCCTGCAGACTTTAGTTACCGGGAGGAGGGGCTGGTGAAGGAGAAGTCAGGTTCATCACTAGGCATGCTAGCCAAAGTCCCTCACCTAGGAGCACTTAAAAAAAGTACTCCTGAGCAACTGTGACAGTCACTGCAGGTGCCCTTGGCCCACAGAGGCTCTGGATAAGATGGATCATGGCCCATGAAACAGGTTCCCAGCCTGATCTACCAGCTGCACCCAGGGAGACAGCACCCAGTCCGAACTAACCTCTGGGAGACCAAGCCTTCTCATCTGTATGAAATAGAGCAATCCTAGTAGCCCATTCTCCATAAGATGGCCGTGCCCACCCTGCATCCTTGGCTGTGGGCGAGCGTGTACGAGAACTCCGCCAAGAGCGGAGTGGGGAGGGAGAATTTTGAGACATAAGCTCCTGCCATCTACACTCCCCGCTTGACATTTTTCCTTTCTCCATCTGCCAGAGATCCAGGAAAGATGGCCTGGGGGATCCTGCAGTCCTTCTGTCCTCGGGGCTGGGGAGACCTGAATAAGCTCTGGAGAAATAAGTGAGACCTCTTCCCTGGGGGAAAAAGGCAGAGGAAAGGGACACAGAAACCCCCACGGAATGAGTGAAGCCAAGCTCAGGGGAGCTCGTACTTAAAGTCAGAGATTGCTATAGAAAATAGACTTCCACGTGATACACCCCACTATGGGCACATGGGCTGAACCTGTTTTGCAAGAAATGGTCCATGTGGCCTGGGCTCTAGTGGGGAGCAGGGGCAGTCCTGAGAAGACAGCTCCTCAGAGCAGGAGCGACAACCATGAACCCTACAGGAGTCTTGAGGTCTGGATGAGGGAACAGGGAAGTCAAAGGAGCTCTGGAGACGGGGGCTACAGATGTAGGGCCCCAACACGTATTTTAGGGGGGCTGCCTGTTAGAAAAAATGGAGCATGAGGACAAGGCTGAGCTTCCCTTCCTGTCCCGGCTCCCAGAGGCTCTGGCATCATCCCGGTTTGGTGCAGTTGCTGGCTTACCCTTCTTGCCTCCCTCAGCACTCGCCTGCACGGAGGTGCAGAAGGAGACCACGTCCCAGAGGCGCCAGGGGAGAGAGGGTTTATTATAAGAACTGTACAAAGAAGCTTTATCTGACAGCCTGGCTTTGGGCTGGCTCCCACCTAGACAGGGTGGTAGCAGGGCTCACTTGGCAGAGAGGTCTGCACGCAGCAACGGCAGACTCAGTTCGTGGCTCTTCCTTTGCAGCGATTCGTGCAGTTGGTTGGAGAACACCAGATCTAACGGGTTCCTGAGGCTGAGACACTGAGTGGGAATGAGACCATGGGTATGACGATAAGAAACAGAGAAAGGGGAAAAGCGAAGCTCAGAGAAGGAAGCCAGAGGGACGACCAGGTGAGGCGGGGAGGGTTGAGCGAGCAGGAGTCTGGCCTGAGGTGTGCACATATGTGAACCCAGGGTGTGCAACACACCTTGTTTGGAAAGTTTTGCCACTTCCTGAGTTTTACTCAAATTGTTTATGAGAAACAAGAAGAAAAGGGGAAGGAATTTAGGCTAAGAGGGGACTCCAAGCGCCAAGTTTAGAATGTGTGTTCATCCTTATTTACCCCCTTTTGGTAAAACGCTCTTCTACATTTAGGGATAGTGAGATGAACAAACCTGCAGAGAAGTCACAAGCACCCATCCGCTCCCTCTCTCTCTGTCACACTGACACACGTAGACACAAACACTCACAGATACATGTGTATCTGTAGACACCACGGTTCACATACATACAGCCATGTATGAACACATGAACTCGGGCTCACAAGCCAGTGCATAGTCACACAGATGGACAAGTACACACACAAGTGATTGAATCCAGAGACCCCTGAGCAAAACCCTCACTCCCTCCTCCAAGCCTGGTCTCTGTTCTCTGAGAGCTGACAGAGCCTGGTTCTGGTGAGTATAGCTAAAGAAAATGGCTTTCCACTGGGTGGTGGTGGCACACGCCTTTAATCTCAGCATTTGGGAGGCAGAGGCAGTGAGTTCGAGATCAGTCTGGTCTATAGAATGAGTTCCAGGACAGGCAGGACAAACCCTGTCATAAGAAGAAAAAAAGAAAGAAAGAAGAAAAGGGAGGAGGAAAGAAAGGAAGAAGGGAAGAAAGAAAGAAAGAAAGGAAGGAAGGAAGAAAGAAAGAAAGAAAGAAAGAAGAAAGAAAGAAAGAAAGAAAGAAAGAAAGAAAGAAAGAAAGAAAGAAAGGAAGGAAGAAAATAGCTTTCCTTTCCAGGTAGCAGGAGGCAGGGAGGTTGAAGCCAAACCTGGTGGGCCTTCTTGACTGCATGCCCTAGCCCCAACATCTGCACCTCTCCTGTGAGCTCAGTTCTAACATTCTCAGGGTCACTTTGAGGAAGCAGGGAAGGACAAGGAACAGGGAAGAGATGGGCAGAAATGAGATGAGAAGAAGGAGCTCTCTCAGGCATGACGGGGTGCCAAGGAACCCTGGGGGTCAAAGGAAGGCACAAAGAGAGGAAAGAGGGAACCGGCAGGTTCGTCTTAGAAAGTACCAAACCTGACCACAGCCAGACCTGGGGGCTCAGGCCCAAGCGCACGAATGCAGCTGGCAGGACCCAGCCTGTACGACCCATCCATGCATCCTAGAGAAAGGGAATTCCCGAGGGGAATCCTTCCTTGGTTCTTCCCCCAGGGGCCAGCCAGGGGAGCTATCCACTGGCCTGGATATGACTGGGTGATAGGTTTCAGAAGTCAAGTTTCCAGCCTGATACATCCAGATCCAGCGGCCAATTGGTTCTGTGCAGCAATGTGTGTACCCGGGCTATTTCCCTTTTACAGGACATTCCTGAGTTGGCCAGGGGGGAAGCTCTGTCTGAGTCATGGGATGAGAGCACTGGCTAAGCCCTGGAGTCAGCTATAGGTTTCTGAGGTTAAGACTTGTCTTTGTCCTGGCTAGAGCTGGGGCACTTGGGCCCTTAAGAGTAGTGCCAGCAAGGCAGCCAGCCCCTCCATGATATGCTGGCGTTTCCCCACGTAGGGAACAGCATTCTGGTGTTCTGACCCAGAGAATGTCTGTCAGAGCAATGCAAAGATGAAATCAGAAGGCAGGGGCTTCAGCCCCACCTGAACCCTGAGCACAGTTCCCATTTCCCTCAGCCCAGGCAGCAAGCCCTGAGCAGCCCCCACCTCAAAGCCCCATTCCTAGCTCTGTACACAGCTCTCTCGTGGGAGCTTCAAGTCTGTACCAGTGCTCAGCCACCTTGATGTTGCTCTCTAGACGAGAGACTCTTTGACCCCTGGACGCACAGTCTGCCCCTGTGGTGCTGATGGCGGTAGTGGTGCTGATGGTGGTGATGCTGATGGTGGTGGTGCTGATGGAGGAGGAGGAGTTGTCTGGGTGGCGTCCAAGGAGCTGGTGGGTGTGAGCTCCATGGTGGGTCCAGCATCCCCTGTAGAACCCTTCCCCTCCTCTCCCTGGCTCTGCACACCACTGTTCTCATTCTCAGGGCCGTACATCTTGTTCATGGTATTGGCAAGCAATCCCTCCTTCTCGGGGGCCCCGTTTCCATTGCCATCCTGGCTGTGGCGGTACATGTAGGAGGCCTGCTTCACAGAGCGCTGCAGCAAGTGGCGGCGGTAGGCCCTCTGGATTTTGATGGCACACACCTCCTCCTGCTTCCTCTTGAGGGTGGTGGTGATGGGCTCATAGGAGACCTTGGAGGGGTTGGCGGCCATGAACTTTTCCTCCATGGTCTGCTTAAGGGCGTCCATCTCCCCAGAGTCACCCAGGACCTCTTTGGTCAGGGCAAAGAGGATGTCCAGGCAGTGGATCTTGTCCCCCGGCACCATGGGCAGGTCTAAGGTGATCAGCTTGATCTTGTTGGGCTTGGCGATTCTCAGCGGCTCCTGTAGGGTGTCCACAAAGTCGGAGAGGCGGCTGTAGTCGATGAACTGAGTGGCGTCAGGGTCGAACTTTTCCCAGGTCTCGTAGAACATCTCGAAGTCGTCCTCACTGAGGGGCTCGCTGCTCTCCTCAGTGGCCACGTTGAAATTCTCTAGGATGATGGCAATGTACATGTTGACCACGATGAGGAAGGAGATGATGATGTAGCTGCAGAAGAAACAGATGCCGATGGACGGGTTGCCGCAGTCACCCTTGATGTTGGTGCCTGGGTTCTCCAGCGTCGGGTCACAGTCTGGGGGTCCACTGTTGAGGATGGGGTTCAGAAGCCCATCCCAGCCAGCTGACGTGGTGATCTCGAAGAGACAGATGATACTGTTGCCAAAGGTCTCAAAGTTAAACATGTCATCGATGCCTGATTCTTTCTTGACGTAGGCGAAGTTGGACATGCCAAAGATGGAGTAGATGAACATCACCAGGAAGAGCAGGAGGCCGATGTTGAAGAGGGCAGGTAGTGACATCATGAGGGCGAACAACAGCGTCCGGATGCCCTTGGCCCCACGGATCAGACGCAAGACACGCCCGATCCGTGCCAAGCGGATCACACGGAACAGCGTGGGCGACACGAAATATTTCTGTATCAAGTCAGAAAGCGCGAGGCCTACAGAGAGAAACAGAGGCTGGGTCAGGGCACGGGGGGCCTGGAGGGCTGGGGGGCCTGGCCTAGTGTGTGCAACCCTCTGAGTAGGGCCTCTCCTAGAGCTCTTGGGGGGCAGGGAATTACTTTGTCCTGACAGTTGGAGGTGGGATATATTAAAATTGATGGGGGCCCGTCCTTAGAACTGCTTGCCAATATGGCAGGTGAGGGAGAGTAGGAGGAAGAGAATAGCTGTGTGGCTTGTTCTCATCCGTTAGGAAGGAGTGAGATGGCACTGCCGTGGAAGAGTGAGGCCATGCCTGTAAAGTGCATGGCCAATGCCTGGCACACAGGAAACACTCCGTAAGCAACAGCTACTCACTCTCATGGTTGTAGACATCCCCGCTCTCCTCTCAGTGTATAAAGATCCTGGAGCCCTTTTCTTATGTGTGTGTGTGTTTACATGTCCATACATCCTTATTTGTACATATGCATGTGTGTAAATGTGTGTGTTGTGTGTGTGCTTGCGTGCACACAGGTCAAAAGAAAACTGCCGGCCTCATTTCTCCTCAGATGCCATCTATCTTGTTTGTTGAAAGAGGGTCTTTACTGACCCTGAGGCCCAGTGTTTAGGCTAGGCTGGCTGTCCAGTGCCCAACAGGGTCCCAACTGTCACCACTACCTCATGGCTGAGATCACAAACATGTGCCACCACGCCTGGCTTCTTTACATAGATTCTGGGAATCGAACCCAGATCCTTGTGCCTTTGCAGCAAGTGCTTGATGGGCGAGTTACCACGTCAGCCCTCTCTTGTGCTTTTTGTTCAGTACATGACCATCCAAGTACACGTCTGCTGGACAGACCAGCGTTTCTCAGGTGAGCTCATGTATGGGCAGACTATGGGTGGCCTGTGAGCAATGGGCTCCTTTGTGCATTAGAGGTGAAAGAATAACAAACACATATGTGTGTTTGTATAGATGTGTGCATATTCCAGGGCCCTAGTAGGTCTGTGTGCGTGAGGGAAGGCTTCCCCGGATGACTCATCTTGGTGTGGTCCTGCCAGCTCACCCACAATGGACAAGATGACAACCACGAAGTCGAAGATGTTCCAGCCAATGGTGAAGTAGTAATGGCGCAGGGCAAACATCTTGAGCACACACTCCCCGGTGAAGATGATGATGAAGACCATGTTGATGTTGTACAGGATGTCCACCTTGAGCTGGCTCTGGTCGTCCGTCTCCACCATCATGGTAACCATGTTCAGGCAGATGAGGATCATGATAGAGATGTCGAACACCTGCTTTGTCACGAAGTCATACACCATGCCCTGGATCTTGTTCTGCAGTGGGACAGAACGGGCACATGTGATATGGGGCTGGGGGATAATGGTCAAGACCCAGGCAGGGTGGGTATGAGTGGAGGTGCAGGGTGACACAGGGTGACACAGCAGTGGCCTGGGAGGAGGAGGGGCAGGGAGCAGGTGTAGAGTGTAGTAGTGATGTGTACCGCAGGCGGGAAGGGCCTGGGGACACATCATTCTCTGTGTGTTGGGTGTCTGTGTTCATCAGCCCCCACTTTAGGACCCTTCCTCCCTATAAAGTTCCTCAGTCATTTCTTCTCCTCTTCTCCAGTCATTGCTTGCTGGGCTGTGTGACAGCCACTTCCCACTCCTTCCGGGGGGCCCCTGTCTCCCAGGTCAGAGGTCTCACTTGAGAAAGTGGGTGGACACCGGGAAGCTGTGTGGCGCTAGATGAAGAATCATGTAATAACAGGAGCCTAGAGACATTCGTTGCGTTGGTGAGCAGAGTCTTTGTGGGGTTGTGAGTAGGGACCCAGAGCCTGGTACCTGAGGGCGGGGAATGGGCTTCTGGGGCTTCTTGGAGCCCAGCTTCTTCATGGCATTGTAGTATTTCTTCTGCTCCTCCGTCATGAAGATGTCTTTCCCTCCAAAGTATAGTAGGACAGAGACAGTAAGACTGGGAGGGTCCCTTTCCCTGCTCCCAGGATCCCCCTACCTTGAAGGTGAACCTTACCCCTAAAGAAGTGTCTGGTGAGAAGGCAGAGGCTCTGCGGGGGGGCAGAGGTGGAGGGGTGGGGAAGGGGGAAACTGGATCTAGAGAAGGGTGGATGAGCAAAAGACGGAGGGAACAGGAGGGTTTCAGGCCATTTTCCCAGCTTCAAGCTAAGTTCTACCAATGCCTCACCAATGAGCCCTTAGCTTGCATCTACTTAATCTTATTTATTGTTGTTGAGACAGGGTCTCTCTTTATAGCACAGGATGGCCTCAAATACACTATGTAGCCCAGGCTAGCCTACAACTAGCGAACTTACTGCCTCAGATCACTGAGTACTGACATTCCAGGTGTGCATCACCATGTCTGGCTCTACATCCACCTCATTTTATATATCAGGAAAATGAAGCTCAAGGGACCAAGCCATGGCTCGGTCCCCTAGTGGGACTTAGATCCATGCTTGCTGCCCTGGGCATTCAGGTCGGTGACAGCTCAGGGCTGCTCAGGAAAGAATAAGAGGACGGGGTGGGGCGGGTTCCTCTGGAGAGGGCCAGGTACTCATCTTCTTCTTCTGTTGGTTGAAGTTGTCAATGATGACCCCGATGAAGAGGTTGAGCGTGAAGAAGGAGCCAAAGATGATGAAGATGACAAAGTAAAGGTACATGTAGATGTTCACCTCATAGTCTGGCTGCTCCTCCTTCTGCGGGGCGAAGGACACGTGCAGTTTCTCTTTGTTCCCCAAAGTATGGTCAGCAGGACTCCCCTCCTCCCCAGGCTCCTGGGCTACCAACGAGCTAGCGTGGTCAGTGGAGGTGATGGGGTGAGAGCGGGGATGGCAGAATGGACCACTGTCAGCTCTCCTTTAACTTACTTATCAACCCGGGGACCCAACTCACCTCCCGGGAGTCCACAGCTGCGTACATGATATCCATCCAACCCTTGAACGTGGCCTGAGAGATCACGGCAGGTCATGAGGGGAGGGGCTCTCCTATGCACCACCATTCATATCTCCCTCCCTTCCCTCACCAAGCCCTCTCCAAAGACCACCTGCCAGGACCCCAGTGGGCAGCATCAAACAGACTAGAGAGGGATAAACATGACCTCTGGGTCCCATGGCATTGCTAAAGGGGCTGGCCGCCTCTAACAAGGAACAATGGCGGGTTCTGATATGAGGGACAACTAAACACATCTACCGAGTTCCGAGAAGGCTCCATAGTGTCACTCACCACCTGAAGGAGCGACAGATAGCCCAGACCCACGTTGTCATAGTTAACTTTCACGTTCATCCATCGGACCTGGCCCGTGTGCATGAGGCTTTCACACTCGGACTTATTGTTGACCACAGAGACATCGAACCTCTCGGAGGTGGTTGTGTTGACGCAGTAGTAGAACTTCCCAGCAAACAAGTTGACCCCCATGATGCTGAAGATAAGCCAGAAGATGAGGCACACGAGGAGCACATTCATGATGGAGGGGATGGCTCCCAGGAGGGCGTTCACCACCACCTAGGGACCAGGGTGGTGGTGGGGGTCATTGCTAGAGCCCCTCCTAGGCATCTGACAGGGGACTCCCAGTCAGGGAACCAGGCAGAGCATCTTAGCCAGTCCTAATGGGAGGGGAGTTTGCTGGGAGTTTTGGGTATAGGGGTAAAGGGTTGGGGGAGGAGTTAGAGACCTGCTCCTCTAGAGGGGCTCTCTGCTTGGCTGAAGCCATCAAAGCAGAGTGAGGGTGCCCAGCTTCTCTGGAAGCTGCCAGGTCACGGGTCACAAAGCAGGAGACAAACACTGCCTTCTTAGCCCCCATAGGAAATTCAGCCCATGTGACCTGGTTTGGCTCACTGCATCAGTGAAAGACACAGAGAGGGCATGAAAAGGAAGCCACCAAGGTCTTCAGAGCAATGGATTCAGGGTCAGCTCCCTGTCCCTTACCAGTCCTGGCCATACAGACTTATCAAACTGTTTTAGTCTTGGCTGAATCTGAGAACCGTTCCTCTTGTTGCCACCACCCCCACCCCTTTTTAATTGTTTTTGAGATAGGGTCTCCTGTGCCCTAGGCTGGACTTGAACTTGTTATGTAGCAAAGGAGTCTGAGCTGCTGTTCCTACCGCCACCTCCTGAGAGCTGGGATTAGGAGTGTGTGCCACCACACCTAATGTCTGAGATTCAGGGGATTGTCCCCAGGGCTTTGTGCATGCTGGGTGACCACTCTGCCAACCAGCCACACCCTAGCCTGATCAGTTCCCCTTTAATACGAATTATCTCATGGTCTCTAAACAGAGCTGGTGGCAGGAGCTGGGGACACTGTGTAGCTTCAAACCACTCAGTCAGCCATGGGCAGGTTATTTCTTCAGTGGACAGAGGTGCCCAGCACCACGATTGGGGGCCCAGCCCTGGGTCAGCATCTGAGGTCAGAGCGCTTAGGCTAAGCTTGCTATGAAGACTCTGGAATGAGTCTTATTCCCAGCAGATCTCTCTTCTCTGAAGGAAGTCCTGCTGATCTTGCCCAGACTCTGTGTTCACCTGTCACTTCTGCCTTTGGGGATTGTCTCTGAAGTGCTCCTGAAGCCAAAGGCATGGCTCCATGCTCAGGAGGGGACAGACCCAGGGCTGAAGCAGAAGGATTTGCTCACGTGTTCCTGGTACAGGACCCTGGGGCCCCCAATCTGAGGCGGAGAGACCCATAAACCCACAGGCCTACCTTCCTTCCTCTTGCCTCACGCCTTCCAGGCCCCTGCAGCAGCCTCTGCTGCCCTCTAGTGGCAGAGAAAAGTTAACGGTCTTCTAGCGCTTGGGAGTGAGAATGGGGTTTCCTGGAGATGGGTCACAACCCTAAACTCCAGCCATCAACAGCTTGAGCCTTTTGCCTGACCCTGGGTGGCTGACATATTGTCATGTACCTTGCAACCTTGCCCCAGGGGTGGCTTCTCCCACACCCTGAGCCATCCTCAGCGTTTCCCATACTCACCCTCATGCCCTCAAATCGAGAGAGTGCCCTCAGGGGACGCAAGGCCCGCAGTGTGCGCAGGGATTTGATGGGCCCCAGCTCAGAGTAGCCCAGCCAGTTGGCCACCAGGCTGATGATGGAGACCTGTAGAAAGTGTGTGTTCAGAAGGTGCAGGGGCCCTGGCTTTCCTCCACCCCGGGAGAGGGAAACCCCAATTTCTGTTTGTCTCCTTTAGATCCTATCCCTGGTGGATAATCCTGTCTCATGGGAAGAGTAGCTTTGTGGCCTCTTGCACCCCTAGAGCCTGGGCTCCCCTTAGTGATGCTACCTATGTGACAGGAAATGGGAAGATAGTACCCATTTCCTGTGGCCCGGTGTGCCTATCAAAGAACATATGAAAATCCTGCCTTTACACTGGCAGAGACCGTAAGGCCCCAGGCCTGTGTTGTAGCATCCGGGAAGCAAGAGTCCAGTCTATAGGAAGCGGTGCTGACCTGGGGGCCTGACTCTCTGTGAATTTGGAGAGGTCCTACTTCCCAGAGCCTGGCTTCCCTAAAAGCCTTCATATCTGGCACTACGACCAGACCCGGGCAACTCACATCCACGATGAGGAAATCGAGCCAACACCAGGCATTGGTGAAATACACCTTGAAGCCATAGGCCACCCACTTGAGCAGCATCTCCAGGATGAAGATGTAGGTGAAGACCTTGTCAGCGTATTCCAGGATCGTCCGGATGACTCGCCGCTGCTCAATGTATATGTCTTCAAAGGCCTGGGGACACCAGCGTAACCCACAATGGCCAGGGCTCAGAAGCTGGGGGCAGCAAGCTCTAATCTCCCATCCTGCCTGCTGCTACTGGCTCCCATGGGTAGGAAGATTGGGAGGAAGATTGGGATACCCCTGGGAATCTTCCAGTCCCTAGCCTGTCACCGGGAGAGGCAAACTTCCTGGTAGGGAAGGAGTTTTATTTCTCAGCCATCTGCTGGGGGTCCACCATGATGAATCAACTCTGTATACCATTAACTGCAAATTCCCAGGGTCTACCTACCTCCCCAATGGCCTAGAGGATAGAGTCTACAAAACAAAGGACCCTATCTTCTACTTTAGAAGCTAATGCTGGGCTGGGAGATGCCTCTGTTGTCCTGTAGACATGAGGACTGGAGTTCAGATTCCCAGAACCTATCGAAGCTAGATGGATGTGGCAGTCTGCTTGTAACCCCAGTTCTCAGGAGACGGAGGCAGGAGATCCCTGGAGCAAGATGCCTAGCTACCCTAGCCCAAACAGTAGGTTCTGAGTTCAGTGGGTGTCCGGTCCTGCATCCATGTGAACAGTGGAGAAAGCTGAGAAAGACACCTACCATGTACCTCCCGCCTCTACATGCATGCACACAAACACACGTACAAACATGCATGTATACACACCAGAGAGAGAGAGAGAGAGAGAGAGAGAGTGAGAGAGAGAGAGAATGCCTTCTAGAACATCTTCCAGAATTATAGGTAAGTCCCCCTTTAGATCCCCTTGGAAGTGTCCTGTTTGCATGCACCCATCCTCGGGGAGCAAGGCACCTGCTCTGCTCCCACACTGTCCCCCGGGAGAGGGTACCTACCAGGGCTCCACTGCTGAGCAAGATCATGAAGACAATGAAGGTCTCAAACCAGTTGTGCTCAACAATCTTGAAGCAGGCCCGGCGCAGTGTCCACCACATTTTCCCACGGCCCTGGGAGATGTCCACATAGAGGCAGGGGCAGCGTTGCACGCAGGCTAGAAAGCAGAATGGTACATGTCATGGGCCATGAGGTGTTTCAGAAGGCACCTTCCCATCCTCTGTCACGCTGCCCTGAGACCAGGGCCCCACCTCTTCCCCCTGGCTCACACTGGGGGGCTCAGGTACTCTTTCTGCAGCCCATGCCGTCCATCTGCTGCTAAGATGGACACAGGGAGGGATGCTTCAAGAGCAAGCTCAAGGTGCCAGCTGCCCCACACTTCCCCCATGTGGCCCATCCTAGGTGCTCTGGTAGAAATGCTTCTCGGGCTCAGGTGTTGGCTCCCCAGGTAAGGACTGTTGCCCTCCTCTGACCTGGGTGTGGGGTCAGTCTGCCGATGGCCCTCACCTTCAGTGAAGCATTCCTCAGGCAGCTCCCCCTCAGGGTTCTCCTCAGCCTGCTCCTCAGGATTCTCTTCAGGGGGCTTGTAGTCAACCGTGCTGCAGACGGAGGAGTTCCCATCATAGAGCGGCTGTAGTGGCTTCTGTGGGGACCACAGGGCACGTGATTCCTGGGTCCCAAGAGATCCCCTTATTCTCCCAATTGGTGGGGAGTATGGGATATCAGAGGGAAAGGAGAGGAGAGTGGAGCAGGTTTCATTCATCCATCCATCCATCCATCATCCATCCATCCATCATCCATCCATCCATCCATCCATCATCCACCCATTCATTCACTCAGCCCTTGGGAAGCTATCACTGTACCCTGGCAAAAGCACTCTAGGGACAAGGATATCCTCAGTTCTGTCTTCATGGCCTCTTGAGACCTAACAGTTGAGTCATGAGAACAGAGGATAGGCTAAGGATGCTAGATGGGGGCCCAGCCCAGTGAGGTCCTAGGAGGTATGGGAGTATATGAAGGGGGTCAGCAGAAGAGAGGCCTGGAGGTGCTTTTAAAGGGGCAAGGAGAAGAACTAGACCTAAGTAGATCTGGGCTGCCACAGCTGCCGAGAGCAGGCACACAGCGCCCCCGGAGTCCAGGCATTTCCACCCCCAGGGTCTGTTTGGCTGAGAGACCCAGAAGGGATGGAAAATTCTCCCCTGCCAAGACTCCAGTGTGGCGCCAAGGGAATCTGATCACGGTGGGGGCAGGGTGTGGGGGCTGGAGCTCTCTCTGGCCTAGCTAGGCCTCCTTCAACCTCCTGGTGCGGCCAGGCCAGATTCTCGACTGGCTCCATGTGTCACAGACTCTTTATGGTGAAATCTCTAAAGAGAAAGATGAATTGGGCAGCCCCGAGTGTGTGTGTGTGTGTGTGTGTGTGTGTGTGTGTATGTGTGTGTGTGTTGTATCCAGTGCACTAGCCAGAAAGTCAAGGGTGGGTAGATCTTATTGCCAGTTGACAGAAAGGAAAACTGAGGCTTGGAACATTTGGCCAATCAGGGCATTCAACGAACTGCTGGCCTCATCCTTGCATGTCAACTCCCATATGACCCTTGAAGTTCTGCTCGTTCCTCAGATCTCTTGCCTTCCCAAAGTCAAGGGAGGTGCCGCTCTCTAGCCTGCCCCTCCCCCACCGAGTTCCTCATACCGAGGTCGAGGTTGGTGCCATGTTTCCTGGGGTATTTATAGCACAACAGGCATTCAAGCCCCCAGTAAGTCAACATGCCACATACTGGCGTGTACTGGGGGTTGGAATAAGGAATCAAGAGGCTTTAGAGCAAAGTTCATTATAGATGCCCCTGCCAGGCCCAGGGTTGCAGGGTGGGGTAGGTAGTGTCCCTTCCATCATGTGTTCATTCTTTTCCTACTAGGACTGCAGGAAGGGTAAGAGGCTCAGAGTCAGCTCACCCCAGGTATCCCTGACAGGGTCCCCCAACTCTGAGGGTGACCCCCACCTGTGTCTCAGTAACCCCCTAAACTCCCAAAGGGAGAGCCAGGAGGAGTGAGCTATCTTAGGCCAGTGGGGCTGAGTGGATCAGGGCTCTGCCTTGTTCTTGTCTCCAGACTCTCACTGGAGTCTCTTGCTCTAGTCCTTAGATCCCTGGCCTGGACCTGGTACTCTGTCCTACACTAGGAAGTCTGGAGCAGCCCCAGAGGAATTCTATGTAAACATAAGGGACTGTGCCACATTCAGCCAGCAGGGGTCCTTGGGGCTATAGATCAGATCTGAACATACATGGGGCAGAGACTTGGCAGGGCCTTTGAGCCCAGGGGGCCTGTTTAAGAGCAACCTGTTGGAGCTAGGCATGGTGGTGCACGCCTTTAATTCCATCACTTGGGAGACAGGGGTGAATCTCTGTGAGTTTGAGGCCAGCCTGGTCCACAGAATAAGTTCCAGGGTAAAAAAACTGAGGAGGGGGTAGAGGGAAGGAGAAAGAGAGAGAGCTCTTGGGCCCCAGAGGTGGAGCTGAAGTGCCACAGATAGCATCTGTCCAAGAATGTCACCCAGTGGCAGGAAGGGCCCAGGAAGAGCTTTGGCTTGGCCCATTGTTGCAATCCCAGTGCCTAAACTAAGAGTCACAGATTGCTCACTAGGTGTGAGCCAAGAACCTTTCACCAACGGAGAAACGAAGGGTCAGAAAGGTTTTACAACTTGTTTAAAGTTAAGTAAAAATTTAAAGCTGGGTCTTATTGGCTGCCGACCCCCGCAGTCAGACCCTCAATGGTCTCACCTTAATGTCTTCAGGCTCCGAGAATGTGTCGGTCTCCTCCTCTGTGGGCATCTCCAGGTCGGACTCCTCGGAGGCAATGGGCACCTGGATGGTGAGGTAGGGGTTGTTGATAAAGTTGAGGTGGTCCAGCTCGATGCTGGAGCGGGGGCCATCGCTCAGGCCCACGTGGTTCAGGATATGATTATCCTTCAGTTCCTTGTTCCCATCTTCTGGGGGCGGTTCCTTCTTCTCATCCTCAGGAGCGCTCTCCCCCGTCTCCCCAGCACCCCCGGGCTCACCGAGGGTGAGCATTATGTCCTTGGGGCTCAGGATCTTGCCGTGCAGCAGCCCCAGGAGGAAGGCTTTGGCAAAGCCGATGCCCCACTTAATGCGTCCGATGGCGATCTGTAGGTTGTTCATCTCGCCGTCCTCATCTGATGCTGCCAGGCTGTCGGCGCTGAAGGAGCTCAGCAGGAGAGCCAGGAACAGATTCAGAACCTGAGAGCCAAGGGGCAGAGGGTCTCAGGTCAGCCAGGGTCTGGGGGACACCACCTTCCTCCCGCATAGGGTCCTCAGAACTGTACAGCAGAGCTGCCTCGTGTTGGGCCCTTAAAAAGATGCCCTCTGCCAGGTGTGGTGGGACTAAACTCCAGCAGTCTTCCCGGGCATGTTCGTCCACATCTGGCTCAGACAATATTAAATGAAGTCAAGCTGGGGTGGGGTGGCGCACACCTTTAATCCCAGCCCTCAGGAGGCAGAGGCAGCAGATCTTTGTGAGTTTGAGGCCAGCCTGGTCTACGTAGTGAGTCCTGGACTGTGTAGAGAGACATTGTCTCAAAAATGAACACATAAATAAATATGAAAGAATGTCATCAGGTGGGGTGTTCATGATTGGCAGCAGGAGGGCTACTAATATCAGTCCCCCCTTACAGATATGGAAAGTGAGGCTTGCGTCTGTCATGGGACCCTGCTGCCCAAAGCAGTGACAGGGTTAGGGAGGTACACCAGGTGACAATGTTCTTACGGTGACAGGGTTAGGGAGGTACACCAGGTGACAATGTTCTTACAGTGACAGGGTTGGGAAGATGCACAGGGTGACAAGGGGGGGTACACTGGGTGACAAGGGAGGTACACTGGGTGACAAGGGGGGTATGCTGGGTGACAAGGGAGGTACACTGGGTGACAAGGGGGGGTACGCTAGGTGACAAGGATCTTACTGTCCACTGCTTTCACTGTTGGGAAATAAAGAACGAAGGCCAAGTCCAAGCTTCTGAGACTTCTAGGAATCACTTTTTTTTGGTTATTGTTTTGTTTGCTTTACCAGACAGTGTTTCTCTGTGTAGCCCTGACTGTCCTGGAACTCACTCTGTAGACCAGGCTAGCCTTGAACCCAGAGATCTGCCTGCCTTTGCCTTCTGACCACTGGGATTAAAGGCATGCACCACCACCATCCTAATGCTGATTGGGTCTTAAAAGGCTACTGGTCAACCCATTCATTCCCTCCATTTTATTTTCCAGGGGACAACGACTACATACCTGCCAGGTGACCTCAGGGAGCCCACAGCCTAGTATAAGCAATTCCCATACCATGGATATAGTGGCAATAGAAACTAGGGGATAAGCTTTGGCACCAAGCTACCTAACTCCACACGTCAGTAATTTAGGCCATCTGCTGCCTCAGTTTCCTTATCTGTAAAATGAAGATAATTCCAGCACCTTGTGATTGCTAAAAAAAAAAAAAATACAGATAGAAGACGTAATAGGTACTCAAACTGACTGCTATCACACTTGTAGCAACAGCTAATTGTGCAAGGCATAGGGATTAAATGATCAACTCCAAGGCTGGGTCAGCATTTTGTAAATAAGAAAACTGAGTCCCAGAGAGGTGCAACGATTCGTCCTAAGACAGACAGCATAGCCAGGACGAGATCTCGGGTTTCTAGTGTCATTATACAACCCCAGAGGGCACACCATTCCTTTATACTACAAGATGACCTGTATCCTGAGAGGCTTGCAATATGGCGGTCCTTCCTCCCGCCAGCCCACTCATCTTTGAGCAGCGAGATGACGGTGAAGCTGTCTGGGGTAGGAGGTCATAGCTTCTGCCTGCCAAGGGCATAGCCAAGGTCTTACTCTCCTGGGCATGAGGGAATAAGGGAGCTTATGTGTGAGAATCTACTGTCCTTGACTCTCTTCATGTGTCGCACTGCCTGGCACTACCAGTGTCCTCCAAGGTCTTCTCATCTTTGCCTTAACTACCAGGCTAATATGGTATCTTTAAAAACTATATTAAAATCCCCTTCAGAGGAATGTACTTGGGGTCACCACCCTACACCCCATAGCTTCCTACCATTACCCCCACCCACATTTACTGGTCTTTCTTCTCCCTTTGGGGAGGGGACATCCAGTTGCCAGAAACACATTTGAGATGGGAATTAGCTGCTCTCTGGGTCAGCAGGGTTTGCGCACGGCTTCTGCCCGGGACAGAAATAGCCTTCTCAGGCAAAGGGGGGAGAGGCAGGAGAGGGAGGGTAGTCTCCTGGGTGCTCTTTGGGGTGGGGTACCCAGGTCCTCATGCCTTCCACTTCTTCACACTAACCCAGAGGAAGTGATCAAGTGCCATGGATGCCGTGGATGCAGAGGGCGTGAGAGCTCATGAACGCTGGCAGGGTGCCCTGGTGCCCACTGGCCGACACCTGCTTCTCTGAAGCACAGAGGGAGAAGGGTCAGAGGGGACCGGGCCCAAGGAAATGAGCACACTGTCTCCCTGGGCTGCTGCAAGCCCTCTGCATGAACTGGGAGAGTCACAGAGCTGGGCTGAATGAGTCAGTAGGGGTGTGTGTGTGTGTGTGTGTGTGTGTGTGTGTGTGTGTGTGTGTAACAATACACACAGGCAGTGCAATGCCACGACTGTAGATTCTGGAGCCAGAAAACTTGGCTTAGTTCGCTCTGAGCCCTTGCTCCCTGCTCTCTGGAACAGACACATCAGTATCAGTCTGCCTGTCCTCAGGTGCTGACGAGGACTGAATGAACACAGACTGAGCACAGGATTCAGGGCAAACGCTGAACAAGTGCTGTCAGCAGCACCAAGGGTACCGTGATGGCTGCCAGCCTAAGTGGTGTCATGGTTACCAGAGTCACAGACCCAGGCTCTAGTCTCAGCTCAGCATCTCAAGAGCTGGGCATCTCTGGGCATCCTCCAGTGTGGAGACAGTATTCTGGGCCTGACAGGGCTGTCAGGGAGGGTTACCAGCAGCTTAGGGCTAATGGCTGGAGCCTCCCATTCCCCAAGAGGAGGTGGTTACTGATTTTATTTTATTATAACAATTGCTAACCTAAAACGACCTCTGACCTCTGGACTTAGAGGCTAAGCAGCGAGCCTGCGCCAGGTAACCCTCATGATCGCCATCACACACGTTTTTCCAGATGGGAAAACCGAGAAGAAAGAGGTTAAAATTATTGCTGGGTATGTGTCAGTGAGATAGCTCAGGGTGTAAAAGAACTTACCACAGAAGCATAAGGACCCGAGATAAATTATCAGATTCCATTGCAGAAACAGAATCAACCTCCCAAAAGTGGTCCTGTTCTCTTTTCTCTTTCTCTCTCACTCTCTCTCTTTTTCTCTCTTTCACACACAAACAGTATTTTTTTTCATGCTTGTAATCTCAATACTTCAGTAGATGAGGCAGGAGTAGCCTGAGTTCAAGGACAGTTGTGGTTAGAAAAGAAAACCTCACCTCAAAAGAAAAAAAAGTGCAGAGAGAGGTCCCTGCTACGGACTCTTTTAGCCACCCTGGCCTTTAATCTACACTCACAAAGAATTCCTTCAAGCATGTCCGCCCTAAGTTTGGCCCAGAAAGCTACTCTTTCACCCCATTCTCTCAGACCCCTCCTAGGAAATGCAGTCCTGAGTTCTCCCAGACTGTAGCTGCCCCATAGACTCCTTCAACTGAGGGGCCGTCCCCTCCCCCATCAGTCTCTGCCCCCAGCCAGAGCTCAGTGATATCTGAGAAGCTCTGACCCAGCAGCCCACGGATTCCTCCAGCCATTGTGGGGATAGGGCCACCTCCTCCACCCACTGTTGTCCAGGGCAAATGTCAGTCACCACAGGGGGCAGCGAGGGGCAGCACTAGGAGCCCTGATGGGAGTGACCCTATCTCTACCCCAAGAAGGGGAAGAGTCCACAGACCCAGACACAGAAAAGCTGGCCAGCTGGACCATGAATCTCGCCTGTCCAGCCTGCATCTCTGCCATGCACAGCCCCACACACCAAGTCTTAGGCTACAGAAAGGGGTAAAATAGAAGGAGTTCCATCATTTTTGGGTTGCCCAATACTGGATTGATTCTTTTATCTGAACCACAGGACCAGAGGCAGGGAACAGAGGCAAAAGGTGGAAGAAAACCTTCATGGGGTCCTGGTCCCATTCTATGCCACATCTTTCTACATACTGGTGAGGTCAAACATCCCAGTGACCTCAGGAGTTATGAATTCCTTGTCTTCTCTTTGATAGAGACCCCAGCTTGACTGGAGATCAGCTATGGTTCAATATCACACAGACAGTAATAATGATGAAGGCAGGGCTGTCTGCCATCCTACATCAGTTCCCTCAAAATACAGCTTGCAAGGCTGGGAAGGGGAGTGTCTACCACAGGAGTGGGACGGCCTGAGTTAAGACCTCCAGAATCCATCAGAAAAGATAGTGACCACTCAGATCTGTAACCCTAAGCTGGGGTGGGGGTGGGGGTTCAGATGGGCAGAGACATGCAGATCTCTAGAGCTTACTGACCAGCCAGTCTGCTGATCAATCAGGGACCCTGTCTCAGAAGAGAGGTAGAAATGGCTGGAGAGATGTCTCAGTGGTTAAGAGCACTGACTGCTCTTCCAGAGGACCAGAGTTTGACTCCCAGCACCCACATGACAGCTCACAACTGTCTGTAAGTTAAGTTTCAGTGAATCTAACTCCCTCGCACAGAGATACATTCAGGCCAAATACCAATACACATAAAGTAAAAATAAATGATTAAAAAAAGAAGATAAGTTGGAGAATGATCAAGGAAACCCCTCCATATCAACCTCTGACCTCCACACACATGTGCATACATGTGTATACACACCTGCACACACATGTACACACTACTACACACATCCATGACACATATAAACAAGGTGGAAGGCTCCTGAGGAATGACACTTGAAGTTGATCTCCGGTTTTCATACTCGCATGCACATGTGTGCACCTGCACACACGGGAACAGGTGAGCACGAGCGCGCTCATGCATGTGCACACACACATGCATACACATACATACACACGTGCGCGCACACACACACACACACACAAATACAGCCTACAAGCCAGGCATAGTACACACATGTAATCACGGCACTCAGGTACCTGAGGCAGGAGGATTGATGAAAGTTCTGGGCCAGTCTGGGTTATACTCTAAGTCTCAAACCAACACTGTCCCTGAACCAGAGACAGCAGCAGCATGTGGTACTCAGCTGAAACAGATTTCCAGGCTATGTTCTAGATTTTTCAGAGTCTAGAACTCTAGGGCTGGGGCCAGGAACCCATTTTAAGAAAGTTCTACGGATGGTTAAGCATAAAACGCTGAAGCTCACTGAGGGAGGTCTTACAAAACCACCATTTTTAGGTGGTGGCCATAGAAGGTGGAAACATTTTCTTTGGGCAGTGGGAAGGTTTGAGACAGAGTTTCTCTGTGTATCCCTGGCTGTCCTGGAAGTCACGCTGTAGACCAGGCTGGCCTCGAACTCACAGAGATCCGCCTGCTTCTGCCTCCCGAGCGCTGGGATTAAAGGTGTGCACCACCACTGTTTGGCCAAAACTTTTAAAAGTTAGATTTGTTCATTTTATTTTATGTATGTTTTGCCTGCAAGTATATATGTGGATCACATGAGTGCCTGGTGCCCAAGGAGGTTCGAAGAGGACACTGTCCACCGAAACTGGACTTAAGGACAGTTAGGAACTATCATGTGAGTGCTGACACTGAACCCAGGTCCTCTGCAAAAGCAGCAACTGGTCACAACTGCCGAGCCATCTCTCCAGCCCCCACTGTTTATTTTTTTGACAGTCTTGCTACAGAACCCAGACTGCCTGCCCTGGCACCCATTGAGTAAGTCAGGCTCTCTTTGAACTTGCAGAGATCCTCTGTTTCAGCTTCCTGAATGCTGGAATATGCTGTCCACCATGGCAAGGCCTGACTATAGAGATCTAAACGCCAATTTTGTACAACTCTCCCCAAAATAAACAAGCCCCTCAAGTGAGAAAGAGAGGAACTGGACACGCTTCGTGTAGTTCCCGTTTAAGAGTCAGGAAGCTCTTGAAATAGCTTACTTACCACCAGGTTGCCAATGACCATGACCATGAGGAAGACGGTGAGGCACATGGCCTGGCCGGCCACCTCCATGCAGTCCCACATGGTCTCGATCCACTCCCCGCAGAGGATGCGGAAGACGATGAGGAAGGAGTGGAAGAAGTCGTTCATGTGCCAGCGGGGGAGGCTGCAGTCTGAGGCTATCTTGCACACACACTCCTTATAGCTCTTGCCAAACAGCTGCATGCCCACCACGGCGAAGATGAAGACGATGATGGCCAGCACCAGTGTCAGGTTGCCCAGCGCACCCACTGAGTTGCCAATGATTTTGATGAGCATGTTGAGTGTTGGCCATGACTTGGCCAGCTTGAAGACACGCAGCTGCCAGGCAGGGGGAATGCGAGAAGGAATGAGGATCGGGGACCACCAGCCAACCCCAGGGATCCTCAACAGAAAGCTCAGTGTTCAACAGTCTTAAACCTCATGCTCCTGACAAACAAGGCTTTGCTCTGCCTCTGTTAATGGGGGAGTGTTTGTGTCCTATAGCTTCCTGGCATCCATGTTTAAAAGGAAAAAAAGGCCTTATCCATTAAAGATACAGACAAAAGTATTGACAAGTGAGATTGGATACCAGAATTTGCTTTAACATCCCCTCCCCCTGCAATAAAAAAAGATGGGACAGATGAAAAAAGAATTGCAGTCCATGTGGTTGGGGAGATGGCTTAGCAGGTGGGGGCACTTAATGGCTCTTCCAGAGACCCCAAGTCCACTTCCCAGTACCCACATTCGGCAGTTCCTAACCACCTGTAACCTCAACTCTAGGGGGCCTTACATCCTCTTCTGGCCTCTACATGTGATAGCATGTAGATACATGTGATTCATGTCTAGCAACAGACATGTGGCATACGGACACACATGTATAAACTTTGAAAAATTGTAAAGATAAAATTATACTACACTAGTGGCTGTTGGGGGTGGGTGACAGGCACCTAAAGAGTCATTTTTTTTACTGTATGCTTGAAAGCCCTCATGATAAAGTTAAACAGGACCGAATTTCAAGGGGGAGAGAAAAAAAAATAGTAATTCTTAAGTCCCAAGCGTGGTTTTGTCTTCTGTCAATGAAGTCAAAACATTCAATGAAGTCAGCTCCATTGCTGCCCAAGGTCATCCAATGTCAGTTCACTAATGTCAGGTCCCCCACCCCAGCCCTGTGGAATAAGAAGGAAGGACTCTCTTTTTTCTAGTTCTGAGGGGACAAGTGGCATGCACAGAACAACCGTGTCCTCTGCCTTCTGGCCTCTTAGGGTCTCTCCTTCCCTCCCCCCCAGCCCCTGGGTCTTATGTACCAGACGGAAGGAACGCAGCACTGACAGCCCCTGCACGTTGGCCAGGCCCAGCTCCACCAGGCTGAGAGTGACAATGAAGCTGTCGAAGATGTTCCAGCCCTGTTGGAAATACTCATAGGGGTCCAAGGCGATCAGCTTCAGCACCATCTCTGCAGTGAAAATGCCCGTGAAGACCTGGGGGGGTGGTGACACAGAACCCCTGTCACAGAGCCTCACGGAGAAAGGGGTCTTGGGAGATCTCCCCGAGGATGAGGGTTGAGGGCCCTGAAGAGAGGTAGGGAGTGGTACCCACAGCCAATGTATGTGCATATGGTGACAGGTACTAAGGCCATGTCATATGTCTAGGTGAGTACAACATAGACCCATTCCTACCCATTTCTGACCTGTGACCATGGTCAAGCTACTACTTGGGTCTTCAACCTGATCCTAACGTTCATCTTTCATGAAGTGCCATCTGGTCCACACTGACCTCGTTGGCACGCAGGTCTCTACAAAGCTGGAGGGATTATCATCACCCTCTGGACAGATGAGCAATTGAGGCTCAGAGAGGCGCACCCCAGATCCCTTCCTGCCACTTAGTTCCTTGTGTTCTCAGCTCAGGATTTCTCTTCTGTACTCCCAGCCTCCCTACGTATATCTAACCCCAGGAGCTAGCAAACTTTGCTTTTTGATTTTGAAACAAGTATCATGCAGCTCAGGCTGGCCTTGAACTCACTATGTAGCAGAAGGTGACCATGGGCTTCTGTTGCTCCTGCCTCCACCTTCCGGGTGCTAGGATTACAGGCATGTGTCATCATGCCTGGCTTTATTCAGTGCTGGGAAGGGAGCCTAGGAAGGCTTGCACACTAGGTAAGCACTGTACCAAATGAGCCACACCCTCAACCAAGCCTTGGGTCTTGGCAGAGACTGAAAGGGATGGAATCAGTAAGAAGGTTAGCTCTGCCTCCTCAACCCCAGAACAGGCACCCAAGGGCCTCACAGTTCTTTAAACTTCACCGGCATAGCCCCCCTCTTACTAGGCGTCAGCTGCTTTGGCTCGACAGCATGCCTAGGTACACACTGGGTCCCTCCCAAGAGCTGTTTCTGGCCATAGCAGGTGCCCAGACAAGCAACACAGTGTGGACATTGGGTAGACAGGCAGACAGCTCCTGCCCATCACCACACCCTGGCAGCTGTGCCCTTGCCTCCCTTGCCCAGCCTGGCCCTGGCTGCTTTGGGCATCTTCACGAGATGGACATATCTGCTTTGAAGACTGGGGATTCTGATGCCATGGTTCTTTATGCCCCCTACCCAGTGCTGGTACCGTCCCAGCCCTCCCTCACATGGCACACTCTCTGAGTTTGCCTCTCCCTGGAGGTAATGGGAGCCTCGGAGCCTCTTGTCCGTTTGCCATGGTGGATGGGTGGGTGGGGTGGGACTGCAAAGGGAATTGGGGAGGGTGGGGCACAGTGGAGCAGGACTGGAAGAGGAGGCATGGCTTTCCCCTTTGTCAGGCTCCAGTGGGGCTGGCAACGAGGTGCTAATGCCCCTAATGGGCAGGGATAAGCAGTGGGATCAGAGCATGTCAACAATAGCTGGGCAGCAAAGGGCTCGGGAGAGCACCCGGTGGGGCTGGAGAACAGGAGGTCTCTGGGGTGAGGTAGACCCCCCCAGCATTTGAGTGTCTTTGGCTATATGCCCTCACTCCCAAGTCCCTTGGTCTCTTTTAGGACCATGACAGTCTATGAAAGTTGAGAAACTTATTACCTAGCCCCAGTCATTTCCACGCCCCTACTCCCTCGACCCCAATTCCTAGATGTGGCCTGGATCCCAGACCTCCAGGAGTCCTGGTCTCAGCTCACTCCACTCTCCTGGCTCCCAAATGCCTTGAAGCTCAATCGTCATATTCCCCAGACCTCCTCTGTGCTGTGTGACCTGTGCCGGCTGTCCCCAAGCGCCCCTATGTTTCCACACAGCCCAGACAGATCCACTCTTCTGTCCTGTTCTCCAGATGCCCGCCCTCTCCTTCTGCTCCTTGCTTACCAAGTTGCCCACGGAGAGCACATTGTCAAAGTGCTCGGTCATGGGGTAGTGCTCCATGGCCATGAAGAGGGTGTTGAGCACGATGCAGATGGTGATGCCCAGGTCCACGAAGGGGTCCATGACGATCAGGTGGATGATATGCTTGAACTTCACCCAGGGGGCACAGCAGTTCCAAATGAGCACTTTGTGCGCACACTTGTACCACCACGGTGGGCACTTCTGGTGGGCTTCTTCCAGCTCTGGGGGTGGGGATGGAGCGGGTGTCTGATGAAGAGTCTCTGCCTGGCTTGACTCTTACTCTGTCTAGCTCTTGCTCCTGCTCCTACCTCCCACCCTTTAGAACTCCATATCCCAGCACTCCCCACCGCCATCTCCCTCACAGGCTGCCTCACAGGACGTCCTCCATCAACGCCCCAGCTTTCCCTAGGCTCTGACTCTTGTACCCACCCCCTCAGTAAGGCCTTCTCTAGCCCCAGGACCAGCCCCTCACAATCCCACCCACAAGCCCCCTCCCTCCAAGCCCTGCCCTCTTAGAGTTCAGCCCCTCAAAGCACACCTCCTTCAGAAGCCTTACCCTGAACCCCTCCCCGGCGCTCTGCTTTGTGCCCTTAGCAAGCCTGTTGTTGCACCCCCACAATGCCACAATGCCCTCCTATAGAGGTACATCATCTGTGTTTTCATAAATAAAGCTTGCCTGAAGATCAGAAGGCAAAGCAGTCACACTAGTCAGCCACATAGGCCAGGGAGTGGTGGCTCACACCTTTAGTTCTAGAACTCAGGAGACAGAGGCAGAGGGGTCTCGGTGAGTTCAAGGCCACCCTGGGCAACACAAGATTGAATCTGTCTAAAGGAGAAACAGAGCTCACCCAAAGGTGCTCCCAGCACTTGGGAGTCACATGACTTTAATTCCAGCACTAGGGAGGTGGAGACAGGATCTATATGGCTGAGTGTAGAGAGGATTACAAGGGGGAAGAGACAGGAACTCAGTTGAGTGTGGAGTTTGAGGATTTGTGGAGACAAGATCTCTCTTGCCCCTTTGGTCTGAAGATTTGGAAGAGGTAAAAAGTCTCTCTAGTGCCTGGCTGCTTTGCTTTTCTGATCTTCTGGTTGGACCCCAATATCTGTCTCTGGGTTTTTATTTTTATTTTTTAATTTTTTTTAATATTTATTTATTATGTATACATAATTCTGTCTGCATGTATGCCTGAAGGCCAGAAGAGGGCACCAGACCTCATTACAGTTGGTTGTGAGCCACCATATGGTTGCTGGGAATTGAACTCAGGACCTTTGGAAGAGCAGGCAATGCTCTTAACCTCTGAACCATCTCTCCAGCCCTGGGTTTTTATTATCCATGCTTCACCCTCCCTCCCCTTAGTGAGCTGGAGCTGGGCTACCTGCCATCCTCTTGGGTTTGTGATTCTGTCAGGAACAAGACATACCGTGGTCTCTGACTGGGTTCCAGAGTCTTTAGGAAGCATTGGGGGTATACTTTAGGGGGTACACCTTAGGAGTACAATTTAGGGGATTAGTTCTCTGTGCTGTTGGCCGGAGTTCCTGAAACCTTCCCCTCCCTGCTGCTGGTAACACTAGTCACCCCAGACTGTCCCCAGGCATAAAAACCTTTCCCTCTTGAGTGACTTTCTGGAAAACCCCTATTCTTGCTACTCCCAATCAGTGGGGTCTGTGGAATGGGGCTGTTCCTTTACCTGGCCTCTGCGGCCTATGGGAGTAGCCTCCCCCTAGGCAGGTTCTCCAGTACTTACTTTTGTAAACTTAAGAGGCAGATACTATTGGTGACACCTATTTTGCAGTTGAAAGAGACTAGGGTAGGTGGCAGTCCCCTGGAGAACCTGGGTAGGGCTGGGGTCCCACCCAGGAATGAGAAAGTGAACCTCTTTCCTTGGCTGTCTATCTCGGGCTAGTTCACCTGGGCTTCTGTAGGTGTCCCAGCGTCTGAGATCTAAAGCCTGAGAAAACAGAGGCAGGGAGCTTCTTGGGGCACCCCTGCCCAGCATTCCTGGGCCATTTTCTCTGGAAGAACACCATCACGTGAATGCAGAGGTAAGTGTGAGATGGAGCCCTCTAAAGGTTCACAGAGCCCTGAAGAACCTCAAACTCTGCCTTTAGCACAAGGCAAGCCCTAGGAAGTGACCCTCCATCTCTGGGTCAGAGATATCTTTTATTTTTTTTATTTTTTTATTTTTTATTTTTTTTGAGACAGAGTTTTTTCTGTGTAACAACCCTGGTTGTCCTGGAACTCACTTTGTAGATGAGGCTGGCCATGAACTCACCGAGATCCACCAGCTTCTGCCTTCTAAGTTCTGGGATTAAAGGCATGTGCCACCACTGCCCAGCCCTTTTTACAACTTCTTTATTCTCCTCCTGAATACCACAGGACTTGTTGGGAGTCTGTGATTCTACTTGGGGGAATTTAAACATTGACTTTTAGCCTTTACCCAGGAAACACTGGAGTAGGTTCTGGAACACCAGGCCTTCCTGGTTAATATTATTAGCCTGTCCTTCCTCGTTCGTTGCCTTGGCAGCCCCCAAACCCTCCCGGAAGCCCCTAGTTCCCGCAATGGCTTGGCCTTGCAGTCAGAAATGAAGCAGGTTGCAGGACTATATTTATCCCAGCTTGTTTTTTTTTGTCAATATTAAGTTACTGCCCTCCTGAAGCTGGGTCCAAGCAGGCCCCACCCTGCACCTCAGGAGACTTGCAAGGCTTGGTGGGAAGCATAGGCAGAGTGGGAGGGGATGGGGGCACAGGGCACTTACCCTCCATAGCATCTGAGATGGCGCTGTCTGCGCTGCAGCTTGGCCTCGGGGGTCCCTTCTCCCCGGACGTGTCCAGGCTGCCATTGCAGTCTTTGTTGTGGACTGGGTCCCCATCTGCCTCCCCACCTTCCAGAGCCTGGGCAGCCTTAGCCTGTAAGTCAGCAAGAATAATGAATGAGAAGTCTCACTCTGAGGCAGAGGGGTGGACACGTTGACTCTCAGAAACTCTTCCTGAGCCTCTTGGATGACAGGGCTTTTTCTTAGGTGATGTCATATCTTGTGCACGGAGAGAAGGGGCAGCCTTCAGTGGTGGTAGAGGGACGGGGTAAGGACAAAAGGACTGAAGACCTTGGCCCAGAAGGCTCTCATCTCTGATTTTCCGCTAGGCCCTAGACGTCATATGTGCATGAGAGAGTGGGAGGCTGTCCCGTGTACAACCTGGGGTCCTGCCTCTGACTCAGCAAAGACCCAGAAAGCACAAAGCCATAGACCTTTAATCTGGAGGAAAGTTCCAGTTCACTGTGCCAAAATCCTCGCTGTGTGATAGGGAAACTGAGGTATCCTTTCCACTAAAGCTCCAACCTGGAGCTTTCTGTTCCTTTTGCTCCATAACCCTTCCCTCTCGTCCCTGCTCCTCCCTTATCCCTCCAGCCTGCCTGGAAGGAGCCAGGAGTTAAGCAGTTCAGGCCAAGGCCAGGAAGACCCTTGGCCCTCACCCAAAACTCTCTGCCTGAATCCCCACCTTTTCTAATTCCTCCTGATGTTTTTTGAATTTCTCAAGCATCTGTTGAAACTCCTCCTCTTTCTCCTGGTCCTCCGCCAAGGTAGCTTCATTCTGCTCCGCATAGGCCATGGCCACCACCGCCAGGATCAGATTGATGAGGTAGAAGGAACCCAGGAAGATGATGACCACGAAGAAGATCATGTAGGTCTTGCCAGCGGCTCGAAGGGTCTGGGGATGTGGGAAAAAGGAGGGAGGGGTCTCATGGCCTCCATGGGTCCTTCTACATGGTTTTTGCTTAGGTAGGTAGGCAGAGGAGGGGTCCCTCACGGAGCCTGGAGACAAGGTGTGGCCATCCTTAGCAACTCAACCATATTCTGGGGAACTTCAAAATTCGTGTAAGTGACCTAGGCGTTCTGGTATCCCAGATCAGAGCCATGGGGAGTCCAGATAGGCACTCTGAGGTCAGAAAATCAGGATGGACAAATAGCAAACAGGGCTTGAAACCTTGCTTTGCCCCAGAGCCTGGTACCAAGGAACTGTTCTACAGATAGCAGATCAATGATTGCTGTTATTATTAATATTGTTAGAAACATTGCCAAAGATCAGAAGACACCGTTATTCCTTCTCAATCCACCTGCTATACCAGCCGGAGACATCAAATGCAGGCATCCCTTGGTGTCCTGGGAACTGGTTCCTTGGATGCCAAGATCTCCAGATGCTCATCCCCCTTATAGGAAAGGGTGTAGTGTTTGCATCCAACCTAGGCACAGCCCCCACTCTAGTCCTCTCTAGACGATCCATGGTATCTAATACAATGTAAGTGCTACATGTACCAGTTGCTGGGTTTTCTAAATTATGGAATAAAAATCTTTTCCCATAGGATACCTGTGTGTGTCCTCCAAACAAGAGTCTCCAGTATAGGCACAATTTTTTCATCTGAAATACTTTCGCTCTTCTCTCCTCTTTTAGTTTAGTTTGTTTTTTATTTGCTTATTGATTAATTGGTTTTCTGAGGCAGGATTTGTGTAGCCCTGGCTGTCCTGAAACTCACTCATTCTGTAGACCAGGCTGGCCTCAAATTCAGAGATTCACGGCCTGCCTCTGCCTCCAGAGTGCTGGAATTAAAGGTGCGCCACCACTGCTATTACTGCTAAAATACTTCTTTTTATCTCTCTCTCTCTCTTGCACATTGCTGGGAATTGAACCCAGGACCTTGTACACACTCGGCAAGTACTCTACCATTGAGCTATATTCCCAGCCCTTTGTTTAGTTTTTCAAGACAGGGTTTCTCTGTGTAGCTCTGGTTGTCCTGGAACTCGCTTTGTAGATCAGACTGACCTCTCTAACTCAGTGATCTGTCTGCCTCTGCCTTCTGAGTGCTGGGATTAAAGGTGTGCACCATTACTGTCCGCTCCATTTTTTTTTAAGTATCTTCAATCGTCGTTGGTTGCATCTACATAAGTGAAGCCCACAGATATGGAGGGCTAACTATCATTGTGTGGGGACAGAGTTAAGTTCCCCAGCCGTCCTAATGGATTTTCTGAGGCTTGTAGATTCTTGGGTCCAAGTCTATAGCAGGCCCAGACCTCAGTTCATAAAGCAAAAATAGAAAAGGACTGTGGTTCGGCTCTGGCCAGATATTCATAACAACACAGAGGGGAGTCCCCTGGAGGAGATGGTGCAGTGGGGGCCTGGCCATTAGGGGTGGGCTCTGAGGAGCGGCAGTGTGGAGGGTGTGTCTGTGGGCAGCAGGGCAGAGCGAGGGCAGCTGTACCAGCTGGAAAAGGTTCTCCCAGTAGTCCTGCGTCATGAGGCGGAAGAGAGCTAGGAAAGCCCAACTGAAGGTGTCATAGCTGGTGTAGCCATAGTTAGGGTTCCGTCCAGCCTTTATGCATTCATAACCTTCGGGGCAGTGCCTGATAGAGAAAGGGGGGTCCAGATTAGGGAGAGAAGAGAGCTGAGGACAGTGGGAGGACTCTGGGTGGAGGATCCCCCATATGTCCTCCAAACACCAAAGCCTTCTATCCTTGCCCACTGGTTCCCCCACATTCCCATCCTCTCCAGATGCATGTTCCTAACGGAGCCCCACTTCCCAGGATACCCCACAACTCACCCGGCATCACTGCTATTCCCACAGAGCAGGGCATCATTGGAGCCCTCCAGGAAGTAGAAGTTTCCTTTGGGAACCAGAGGCCACGAAGAAGACATGTTACCACACAGATGCACAGTAAACACACACACACAACACGCACCTGTGGACAGACCTGTGTGCCCAAGGCGGCCACACAGCTACTCCATGTGTGACCCCTCCCATCTTTAACAAACAGTCCTGGATTCCAAGCTCTCCAGCAGGTAAACTGCAAGGGTTCAGCGCTAAACCTCACCTCACCAGCTTGGCAGTGACTCTGATTATGAGGTCAGAATTCACCAGGAGCCGAACAAAGGGCAAAGGTCGTGTGTCTGTGTGTGCATTAGGCTACCACATACTTATTTAACTGTAGGGTTACTTATTTAACTGTAGGGTTATTTAACAGGGTTTCTCTATGAGTTAGAATCTAGGGGCCACAGTGAAGGATGAACACCATTCCAATATGCAGACATCGTGAGTACCAGAGACTGAGAATGTGTGTGAGTGTTGCATGTGCCCATAAAGAACAGGCATGTGAACAGGACATGCTCATGCCCTACCAGGAGGAGAGCACAGAGTGTGGGGAAGATGGGGAAGGAGAACAGAGTGCCCAGGCTACAGAAGGATGATGGACTGTGTCTTTGTACAGCGAGAGCTCTGTGTGTGTGTGTGTGTGTGTGTGTGTGTGTGTGTGTCTCAGGGAAAACTCGGTCTTTTTTCTCAGCACCAACTGCACTTTTTTTTTCAGGGAGTCTCTTATTGGGACCTGGGGTTTGCCAGTGAGGCAGGATTAGCTCACTGTACAGGGTGCTCCTGAGATCTGCCTGTTTCTGCCTCTCCAGTGCTGGGATCACAGGCATGTGCCACCATGCCTGGATGCTTACATGGGTTCCGGGGATTGACCTTGAGCCTTCAATCTAGCACAGCAAGCACATGTGGATTGAGCTATCTCCTCAGCCTCAGCAGGTGCGGGATTTTAGATAGTGTGTCATCATCGCTTAACCCTTGAGGGAAGTTTTGTCATACTTCATTTGATAGGAGAGGATCTTTTTGTTTTGTTTTGTTTGTTTTTTGAGACAGGGTTTCTCTGTGTAACAGGCCTGGTTGTCCTGGAACTCACTCTATAGACCAGGCTGACCTGAACTCACAGAGATCCACTTGCCTCTGCCTCCCAAGTGCTGGGATCAAAGGTGTGTGATAAGAGAAGGTTCTGAGGGTCATGACTGACTTTTGGAGGCTACCCAAGCTGGCCAATGATAGATCTAGGCTTATGTCCTCTGCAAGAAGCAGCCGAGACAAGGGCTGCCTTAGGAGCCGGTAGCCTCGCTTCTCACCTTCGTCGTTGATGTAAGCGTCCCAGTCAAAGGTGTAGTTGCTGGCCCAGCTCTCCTGGCTGCTCCAAGTGTCGTTGCCGTACCACGTGTCATTGCTGTACCACGTATCATTACTATACCACGTGGTGTTGGTGTCATTCATGGGCGGGGGCCAGCGCACGCACTTCTGACGCAGGTTCCCCATGAAGAGCTGCAGCCCCACGAGCGCGAAGACGCTCAGACAGAAGACGGTGAGGATCATGACGTCGGACAGCTTCTTCACGGACTGGATCAGGGCTCCTACAATGGTCTTCAGCCCTGGGCACAGCAAGGGTGAAAGCATCAGCAGGGAGAAGGATGGGATGGTAGCAGACCCCACCCAGAGCCTCAGCAACTCCATCTCTGAGGCGGATATGCTCCTCAGAGCGCCTTCCCCGAAGCCTCCCTACGGTGGCCCTTTCCTGAGCACCTCCTCTGTGCTGAGCTTGGCTTTACCTGGAGACCGAACGACCTCGAAGATGCAATGGGCGACTGCCTGACCCTCAGAACTACACAAACGCATAGAGAAATTCTAATAAATGTCACCACACTAGCGTTCCCAAAGTGTGTTCTCCGAGCGTTGTCATTAGCCTAGGCTAGACTCTTTGAACCTCAGTGTTCGCTTCTAGGCCTTAGTACTGTGGGGGGGGGGCATGTTGGTCCAGGCAGAGAGTCCCCACACCTCCCAATACCTGGGATTACTGTGATGGTTTTCAGGGCCCGCAGCACACGGAAGGTCCTCAGGGCTGAGATGTTGCCCAAGTCCACAAACTCTGTCACATACCTGAGTGGGAAGTTAAGGTGTGTGTGTGAAGTTGTCAGAAGTGGGGCAGAAATCAAGTGTCTCTGGGCCCAGAATGAGGAGTCCCAAAGAATTCTTGTAATGGGATTATCACAAGGAATGGGGCGGCGGGTCACATAACCTCCAAATTTCCTCTTATAGCCCAAGAATTGAGAAGAACAGTGCTGAGCTTGCCGCTGGAGAGTGGAGAGGCAGGGACAGCCCCCGCTCACCCACTGGCTGTGTGGCTGAGCTAGGCTGCCTCCTAAGGTATGAGGAGGGGACACAGACCTCTGGGCAGGGCCCTGGGAATGTCCTAGTGGCTCAGTCTGTACAAGTCATGGCCCGTGTCACCACCCTCTGTCAAAGCCCTCTTTGGGGCTCACCCTTCTGACCGCTCCCACCCCAGCCCTAACGCCCCGCCTACGCCATGGTGATGACACTAAAGTCCAGCCAGTTCCAGGGGTCTCGGAGGAATGTGAAGTCGTCGATGCAGAAGCCTCGGGCCAACATCTTAATAAGAGACTCGAAAGTGTAGATCCCTGTGAAGGTGTACCTGGCAAGAAGAGGGCCAGTCAGGGCCACAGATGTCACCTGGGTATGTGCGTGTGTGTGTGTGTGTGTGTGTGTGTGTGTGTGTGTGTGTGCGTGTGGGTGCATGGCAGCTGTGGACCTTAGGGGAGGGGCACCAAGATGGCATATGGCTACCCAGGGCCGAGCACATTGGCGAGGGTGATAGCATGCCCTCCCCCACCCTGACTTAAGGCGTGAATGGTCACAGGGACAGTGTGTCTCCCCTGAAAGAGCAGGGTCGCTCTGAGCCCTCGGGATACAGACCCAGAATAGGGAATCTGGGGAGGGCGACTTACTCCACGTCCTTGGACCATGACGGCGGGTTGCTCATGGTCATGAACACACAGTTGGTCAGGATGGTTATCATGATAAACATGCTGAACAGCGTGGGGGTGGGTCAAGGAAAGAGAGGGAGGAGGCAGCCGGGAAGAGGAGGGCACGGGAAGGTCTCCTGCCCACCCCTCACCTCCCCGCCTTTCCCACTGAGGCAGGATATGCGTGGATGAGCACCTTGATGGCCACACGCCTGACGATGCTGAAGGGGCTCAGCATGTAGAGGGCAGGCGTGGCGGAGAAGCGGAAGATGGCCTTGCCTTTGTTGAGCACAATGAAGGTCTGGGGGGGGGGGAGAGAGAAACTGAGTCCGAAGGACAGACAGACAGACGGACAGGAGGCACAGAAAGAGGGAGCCCTCCCACACCCAGACCTTCTTGTCACTGTAGTAAGGGTCCAGGTCCTCCAGGGGGATGCCGATGACTTCAGGTGGGGGGTCCCCATAGATGAGCGGTAGGTTCTTGCCGGCTTCCAGGTCACTGCGTGGCTTCCGCTCAGGCTCCTCAATCTCCATTTGCTTATTCCGCTGCAGCCGGGCCTCCTCCTCCACTGCCCGCTGCTCTATGGCTGCCAGGGACTCTGGGGTGAAGGGGCGCAGGCAGTGGGGACCCAGGGGCACCAGGGTGGGCAGAGATGAGCTGGCCATCCTTGCATCCTGGGCTCAGGGGCCAGAAGAGTGGAAGGCAGCGGGGCAGCTGCAGCCCGTAGTCCTGGAGTTCTGGGGATCACCAATTCCCCAGGTCTACTGTGTCCGCCTCACTTCCTACCTGCCCGCAGGTTGGGCCAGGGAGGTGGGTGCACAGGTCTTGTTGGGGCTGGGAGATTTGCCTGCAAGACCTGGGCTTGCTGCTGCACAGGTGCTGGGCAGGAAGCATCCCCCACCCCAGGCCCCACAGTGCACTCCTCTCTCCAAAAAGTTGCGCCACCTTCGGGATCAACAGAAAACAAACCAGATCCTCTTCAGTCGTGGGAGCTTGGGGCCAATGCCCCAGTGTCCTGACAGTTCAGATGTGGTCTCCTGGGTTCAAATTCCAGGAACCGTGTGGCTTCGGCCTATAGGGACACAAAGAGAGAACCTGTACTGGCTGCGACTGCAGGATCTCCAGGTGGACCAGGGTGAGGGTCTGGTAGGAGGATCCTGAAGCACATCTAGAAAATGAATTGCAGCAGGGTGGTGGCTGCCATGTGGGTCGGCTGATACTGGTTAACAAAGGATGTGTGTGGAGACCTTTGAGGTTTCAGCAAGACTCAATGCCAAAGGATGGCTGGGATGTATTGAGGATGTCTGCCAGGGACAATCTCAGAAGAACGTGGGCCCTGTCTGTGTTTGTCATCTCTGCCTGGAGAGAAGGGAAAGGAAGGTGGGGACATAAGATTTCTTTTCCGACTTATGAGGTACTTGGCAGTGGGCTGGGAGAGGGAACACAGAAGGGTCCTGGTCTGCAGAGGGTCTCAGCAGCTTCCTCCCATGGTTCTGTGGAATCCAAACCTCTGGCCAGATGCAGTGGAACAAGCAGATGTAAGGTATGGGAGGTGGGTGGTGTCGGGAGACCTGGGAAAGGCGATGGGAGTAAGGAGATGGACGGTTCCAGTAGGGCAGGGTTCGAGCCTCAGGGACAGTTTTTGGTTGGTGGTCTCTTAAGAACTGGGTATGAGAAAGGAAGTGTACTAAAAGCCTTGGGTTTTATGGGCAGTATGCGGATCATCTCCTGAGCTAGCCCCTCGGCCTTTCCTGGCTCCTGGTCCCATTTGCTCAACCTGTTCCCCACAGAAGGGCTGTGATGGGTTAGTTATTGGAAATGGTTTTAGGAGAGTGATTCCTTCAGCAAACAGAAAGAACACTGGCCCAGCCGCTCACAACCACTGAGAGGCCAGTATGGGGCTGGAGAGATGGCTCAGTGGGTAAGTGCATATAAGGATCTGTGCTTGGATTCTAACATTCAAGAAAAAGGCTGGGTAACCACATGAACACTTGCAACCCCAGTGCTGGCTCAGGAGCAGAGACTGGAGGATTGCTGGGTCTGTTGCTCACTAGCTGAGCGCTAGCTTTAGAAAAAGACCTGTTTCAAAGAAGGGAAGTGGATAGCGATAAAACAGGACAGCCCATGCCCTCCTCTGGCCTCTGCAAGCACATGTACACATGCACACACATGCACACACACACATGCATACACA